GTTGGAGAATCCCTGCCTCTCCCCCTCCTAGAAGACAGGAGAAAGAGGGACATACTTCTCCACAGCATCCCCCATCCTCCTTGCTATGGTGGCCGCCAACCATGGCTCCCTTTTAGCAGCACCTACTGTGTGCCCAACATCTCAGATCCATTTCTCCACTTCATGCTCAAGGCCTGTGAGCGTAAGCACTGCTCACTCTTCATCTGCCCGGAACAGATGAGAACACTGAGGTTCAGGGACAGCCAGGGAGCTTGTTAAGTCCCACTGCTAGTAAGAAACCCATGTGTCTCTGACCAGAAGCCCACACTGCTGCTTACACAGTGGACTGCCCTTCCTGGGGACCTCTGACCGGGCCAGGTGGGGGACTCTGTGCAGGCAAACGCTGAAGGTTACCCACCCCCTGCTCTCAAACAGTCCCTTTGTCCCAGCCCCTCCAGCTCGACCCTCATCTACCTTGAGGCACATGTTGTCAGAGAGCTTGGGGAACAGGTGGTGCTCCACGTGGCAGCTGATGATGGAGTGGCCGAACGCCCAGTCCAGCACGGGCAGGCGGGGCAGGTTGAGCACACCCAGGCTCATCATGTGAATCCGTCGGGGCTTCTTGTCCCGGGAGAACATGGGCAGCCCGATGTGCTGTGACATACAACGCGGGTCACGGCCTGGGCCGTCCCCGTACCTCCCCACCCTGCCCCAGTGTCCTCACCTAGCACTCAGGGATCAGTGGGGCCTTCTGCCCCCCACTCCCGCTCCGGCGGGACCTGGTAGAGGCGCGAGGAGGCTGTGCCCTGAGCTCAGTCTCTTCCATCTCTGGGCCTCTTGCCCCGACTCTACAGTGAGGGGCTTGGCCTGGGTACCCCTCAGATCCTGTGGTCCTCTACAGCTCTCCACCACCTGTTTGCTCTCATGTCACTATGTCTGGACCTCTGTGCCGCTTTCACCAATCAAAATCCTGTTCATCATTCAAGGTCAAGTTTGCACCTGCAAGTATTTTTTCACTTGACGGGTTTGTATAAATGCCTTCTCTGGTCCTGGTCCGGTGGCTCTGTCTTTTGGAGCATTGTCTGTGCACCAGGAAGGTTGCAGGGTTCGATTCGTGGTCAGGGCACATACCCAGGTTGTAGGTTCGATACCCAGTTGGGTGAGGATTTTTAAAAAATAAAAATAAAAGTAAATGCCTCCTCTGCCAGGCATTGTCCTAAGTCTAAGGGACAGGAAGGGAACAGGAGCTCCCATTCTAGCAAGTCAGGCAGACAGGACACACTATGGATTAAAGTATTCATGGCAGCGTGGTCAGTGCAGAGATGGTGATGGGCAGGATGCTCTAACCCAGGGTCTTCACTGGTTCAGGGAGCAGGTTTGTCCCTGTGGAAATGGCCTGGGACAGTGCGCTGAGCCCCTCCCTCCCAGGGAGACCTCCGTCTCCAGCTCCTCCGTCCGCTGCCTCGTGGCTGTGCTGGGGCCTTGGCAATGACCCTCATTCTGCCTTGGGGTCGTCACAGTAAGCCCCCCGAGGGCAGGGGCTGGGGGCTAATCACTTGTGTCCCCAGGGGGCTTAACCAAGTGCCCCAGGGCACAGACCGCTCTTAACAAATCTTTGGTCCCCACGTGAGTGGCAGCCGGCATTGAGGAGAAGCAGATTCCTTACCCAAGCCCACAGCTCTCCTCCCGACCCGCAGAGAGGAGCAGAGGGCTGGGCAGGAGGTGGCGGGACGCTCCCGCCGCAGCCCCGCAGCGCCCTGGGCGGGGGCGCTCACCTGGAAGATGTTAACATGGAGGTAGGGGTGGGCCAGCAGGGATCTGGTGCTGAGCATGCAGACCAGGGCCGAGCCCGGGCTCTGGAAGCCAGACACGTTCCGGAGCAGCCAGTAGTGAGAATAAAGGCCCAGGGAGATCAGGCCCAGCGCCCGCAGAGCTGCCCCGAGCTTCGCCTTTCTCAGCCTCTCTGCCAGAAGGGGAGAAACAGTGAGGGGGCGGGCAGGGCTCAGGTCCCAGCTGGCTCCCTGGGGGCCCGCTGGTGCTAACTAGGTGACCTAGGTCAGCCACACACAGCCCTGGAAGTAGACTCACCCGCGTTACGGATGAGATGGAACATCGAGCAATTTGGCCAAGGTCACTCTGATAGTCACTGGTGGCCTGGGGCCTGGATCCAGGTCTGCCTGCCCCCAGCCCCGCTCCTTCCAACAGAGGACATTGCTCCCATGATATTAAAAATTCTAATATGCAGCGTTTTTCCATCTCTGACCTCACTGTGCTTTCACACCACCCTTGAGGAGCGGGTAAGAACCTGAGGCTCAGAGAGGTTAAGTTACCTGCCTGAGGTCACCAGCCAGTAGTGGCTAAGCCAGACTTGGCCCGGGTCTGAGGCTCTTTCCACCCTGCCTGGCTGTCTCGGAAAGTTTCTGTCCAGCCATAACTCGGGGCTCCCCTCCTCACAGGCAGCCTGCCCGAGGGGAGGAGGAAGGCAGAGAAGGGAAGGCTGGGTCTCCGCAGCGGACTCGGACCTCGGCCACATACTCACCGACAGCCACCAGTGGGGTGATGATGGGGATCAAGAGAGGAGCGAGGAACATGTAGACATAGGCGTTGAGGTAAGGCAGCCTCCATGTGCTCGAGTCCCCCAGGCCCAGCACGTTGGTGTAGCCATGGTGCATTTTGACATGTCCGTACTTGGCCTCCTCGGCAGGGAAGGCCGTGCACACCTAGAGGAGGGAGCCGGAAAGGGCACCGGGGCCCATGGCAGTGCAGCCAAGCAAAGCAGGGCCTTTGGGCACCTCGGGAACACCCCACCCTCCAGGGCCTTCCTGCCTCACTTACACCCCTAGCTAATCAACCTTGACCATCAACTCTCAGGTATCTGTGACCACAGAGTGGCAGCCAGTCAAACCAACTGTGTCCACTTGGTGTGGCGCTGCAAAGTGTCAGGGAGCATGAGGCCAGCCCCCCGGACTGCCACTCTGCCCCTGACCGTCCAGGCAAGCCTGCAAGCCCGAGAGGATTGGACAAGTCACGTTCCGGGCATCGGATTGCAATTGTTTTGTGTTTATCTTGGAAACATCTGTACCTTCACTGCCGTACTTTGCATCCTGAGCCTACTGCAAGGAGGGGAGGGGAGTGGGTGGGGTCTGGAGGAGAAGGGGGGCCATGTCCTAAACTGTCCAGGAGGGTGGCAACTGGGGAGGGTGCCGCCAAGAGCTAACTTCTCCCTAGGGGTGGCTTTTCTATGGCATTTGTGGGTTTCTCCAAAGCTGGTCAAGAGCAGCAGCTCTCTGACTCCAAACATAGTCTTTCTGGATGCAAAAGAGGGGCTAAGGTGTTTCTTATGCAGATATATGCAAATGAACACGCAGATAGCAGCCTCCTCCAATATTTGATCCAGGCCACACACAAGATGCTGCTAATTGCATTGGAGATGGTGCTGCCTGTTTCCGGCAGAACATGAAGGGCTTCCCAGTGCCAATCCGTGAGCCTCTTCAAGAGCAGGAGACCCCTGGGTGAGTACTTTGCGTTCGGCACTTTGCGTGGGTGACTCGTTAACCTTCCAGCCCGGGCCTGGGTGGTGTTATCACCCACTGTAAACAGACACGGAAACTGACAGAGAGGCCACGTGACCACCCAGGTCACTCAGCTATGTAGGCAGCAGGGGCGGATTGGAACCCAGCTCTCCTCCAAGACCAGCCATAAGGCCCCTGAGACCAGCCACTGGCCGCCACAGAGCAGGACCCAGGCTCTGGGACCAGGCAGCAGAGGCAAAACCAGGAGACACCAAAGGACACTGTCTTAACGCTCTGTGCAGAGACTTCTCCTTTGGGATGAAGTGAAGCAGAAATGTAGCCAGAAGCTCTATCTAAAGGACACTGAGGAGCACAGGTAATGATGTCACAACTGCAGTTTTACAAAAGGTGTGACAAGCCAGTGCTGTACAGGATCCCGGGAAGGCAGAGGGCAGAAAGTAAATGCTAATTCAGGGGCAGCGTTGCTGTGGAGTCCGGGAAAACAAGCCCAGCTGCTTTGCTCTTGGATGATGTAACCCCCGGGGGCGGGATTTGCTGTCTGTTTTTGTAACCTCTACAGAGGGATGGAACCTGGGGGAGGCTCAGGAGGGGGGCAGGTAACCTGTGGTTTAAAGCAACATCTCTTCCAAGCTTGCCATCCCCGAGGACCTGCCCGCTCAAGAGGGCACAGCATTGGGGCCCCTTGGTTGGTTCAAGTTGGTGGCAGAAATCTGGCTCGGGCACAAGGGCTCTGCAGCCGGGGTCTGTTTTGAGCCTCACGGTTCTGGCCCATGTGGAAGAAGCAACTGTTTTTCACTGCTCCTTCCATGCCCTTCTGCTCTAAGGGTCAGTCCTCTCCACTTTGCTTCTTACTTCAAGAAATGTCAGCTGGATTGTCAATAAATCAACAAATAACAAGTGCTGGCGAGGCTATGGAGAAAAAGGAGCCCTCGTGCACTCTTGGTGGGAGTGCAGACTGGTGCAGCCACTGTGGAAAGCAGTATGGAGGTGCCTCAGAATATTACAAATAGAGCCGCCATATGACCCAGCGATTCCACTAATCTGAAAAAATATAAGCACCCCTATGTTCACTGCAGCATTATTTACAATAGCCAAGATCTGGAAGCAACCTGAGTGCCCGTCAGTAGGTGAGTGGGTAAAGAAGGGTGCATACATACAATGGAGCAGGACTCAGCCATGAAAAGGAATGAAATCTTGCCTGCTGCAAGAACATGGATGGACCTAGAGGGCATTATGCTAAGTGAAGTATGTCCGACAGAAGGGCAAATACTGCATGATCTCATTACATGTGGAATCTAAAGAACATGAAAAAACAAAGCCAAACAAACAGACTCCAAAATACTGAGAACAAACTAACGGTTGCCAGAGGGAGGGGGTTAGAGGTGAGAGCTCTTTAAAAACAGAAATATTAGCTGTCTGCTTCGTGACAAAGTCGATTTTCCTCCTGGTGCAAGCTCTGCCTCTCCTCCCAGACCCGGAGCTGACCACTCTGGACAGCAATGCCAGGAGCCACCTGCAGCCTGAGCCAGGCCCGCAGGGGCCGGCAGAGGCTCCCAGTCAGGCTCTCAGCCATGGGTCCAGACCCGGGGACGCAGGGAGACAGGCTGCCTATTGGGTATGTGGCGTGTGATCTGTGACTCAGGACACACTGAGTCTGTGTACGACTTGCCTTTTTATGTGAATGAGAACAGATTTGAGGCTGTTTCTAGAACACCGGATTCTCACCCCTGTCTAGATGTTCTTTCAGGAGAAGAGGGGGAAGGAGTGGATTTAGGCGAGAAGGGGAGGCACACACAGGTTACAGCGTGTCCAGGCGCGCCCGCACCCATTGATCGGAGGGCAGTGGGACACGGCCTCGTGCTGCGGAGGTAGCTGGAAAATGGACCGGCCCGCTGTGAAGCGTTATTTAAAGGTCTCGCCCAAGAGGACTCCACATCCAGACCCAGAGAAACTTCTGGAAGCCTCAAGGTTGGTGCTGCTTCTTGATGATCACCACCCTCTGTGCTCAAGTGGCCACACTATGTGAAGGGCGGGCGTCGGTGTAGTGCCTCTTAACATCTTCTCTCAGCTAAATACAGGGGCCCCAAATCTCGGATTCATTCGTTCGTTCGTTCGTTCGTTCGTTCATTCAGTTGTTTGTCCACTAAAGTGTCCTCAAATCTCTGCCACTGGCCAAAGGCCATAGTCTAATTTCTTCTTTGAATGGGTAATGTGTTTACCTAAATCAGAACGCACAGCTCAGGCGGGCGGCCTCGGTCTTCCCGCCCAACTGCCCTGGGGGTAAGGGAGGCTCTCCATCTCTGCACAGTCCTCTAGCATTTTCCTTTCATTTCTTAAACAAACAATACTTTGCAGGATTAAAAAACATCACGATAAAATTATGACCCAACCGAAGATGGGTGTCAAATAGGTCGCTCTGCTAGGCTGGAAGGGGAGGAACAGGATGAGGCAATTGCTGGGCCAGAGGCCGTCGGGCTGGGGCGGCTGGGGCGTGAGGGCGGGAAGGGCAGGCACCAGGCAGAGTACAGGAGAAAGGCAAGAACTGGGGGTGGGGGAGGACAAGGCCAGACTTCTAGCTCAGGGCCAGGGGCATGGTGGGGCCACTCGGTAGGCGGGCAGCAGGCATGGACAGGATGAGAAAAAGGGGCTGGGGTCATCCCCAGGGCAGCCTCCCTCAGGCAGGACGGACCCCAGGCTGGAGTGCACCCAGCTCCCATTCCTCCCCCCAGCTCCTCTCACTGATGCCCAGCGGCTGGGCGGCCCCATCATGCTGGCTTCATTGTTGGGGGGCCTCTGGGGCTCCACGGGCTGTGGCGACAGGCTTGTCAGACAAAGTATAGGACGGCCAGATACATCCGAATGTCAGATAAAGAACCAGTCACTTTTTGTAGCCACACACCCCCAACACTGCCTGCCTGCTCTTGTCGTTTATCTGAAGTTCAAGTTTACCTGGGCGTCTCTATTTGATTTGCTGCCTCTGGCAGCCCCCACAGTGAGAGAACAAGTTCCTGATGGGAGTCCTCAGGCACAGCGCAGGCTCTGTGAGAATTCGGGGATGTCAGCAGCTAATTTGTCCGCTAATGTGCCCTCGGACCTGCGCCGCTGGCCAAAGGTAGTTGTCTAATTTATTTTTTGAATAGGTAATGTGTTTACATAATTCAGAATTTGAGAGTGTGCAGTAACCGGTCTTCTTCCTCCCCCTTTGGACAAGGGAAGGACAGTGGTGAGGGCCGAAGCCAGAGGACCCCTGCACCCCGTCCTGATGGGAGCGAGCGGGCTGAATGTGGTCAGCGCTGAGCCCATCAGCAGCTCTGAGAACATTCTCTACCCTTTCAGGCTGTGTCCCCAGTAATCTCTTAGCTCCTCTTCTTGGCACACATGCCTCCCTTTCTCCAGGGTCCCCATTAGATTCTAGTGACCCCATATTTCTGTGGGTCCCTTGTGCACTGTGCTGTTTCCCATGTCTGTGCCTTTGACATCTGTTGCATCCAAAACCACCTTCCTGCTCTGGGCCAACCCTGTCCTGGAAGCATCTGCTTCAGACACTCTCCCCAGGGCTTCTCAGCCTCCACACTTTTTTTTTTTTAAATTGATTTTTAGAGGGAAAGAGAGGGGGAGAGAGAGAAACATCGATGTGAGAGTGGAACACTGATCAGCTGCCTCCTGCACGCCCCCTATCAGGGATTGAACACTCAACCCACAACCTGGGCATGTGCCCTGACGGGGAATTGAACCGGCTGGCACTGAGCCACACAGGCCAGGGCAGCTGCGGCACTCTGGACATTTGGGCTGGGTCATTCTATGTTCTGGGGACCTGTCCTGTGCATTGTAGGGTGTTCAGCAGTATCCCTGGTCTCTACCCACTAGATGCCAGTCACACACACATACACACACCTCAGTCGTGAGAGCCAAAAATGTCTGCGGACATTGCCAGTGTCCCTGCCCCGCTCCCACCTCTCTGTGCCCATGGCCTCACACCACCTGGTTGATGGCGCCATCAGGTTCTGCCTGCCCGGCTGCCAGCCCCACCACATGCCAGCTGAGCAGCCTCGGGCAAGTGACTTAAACTCCCCCCTGACCAGTGTTTCCTCATCTCAAAGTGAGTAACAGGTAATAACAGCTTAGACCACATGAGGAGGCGTGGCTATTAAACGAGGTAATTGGTGTAAAGTACACAGGAAGCAGCCACTAAGTGTCAGCTGGGATTTTTCTTATTTTGAGGCCATTTGTGTGTCTGTTCCCCCCCTGGATTCCGAGCCCCTGGGGAACTGGAAGCGTGTCCTTCAGGTTGTGTCCCCAGCACCCAGCGGAGGGCTTGGCAGGGAGCAGAAGCTCACTAATGCTGAGTGCACTGCTCGGCCCCCAAAGCTTGCCACCCAATCTTCCAGGCAGCCCCTGCCGCCCTCAAAACAGCCCCGCTTTTCTCTACAAGCCCCTCCCTCAAGGGATCATTGGACTCAATACAGTCCTTCATAGCCCACTGCCTGGCCTTGGCCTTGCTCAGGGGCAGGCCCACTAGATGCCAGTAACGCACACACATGCACATGCCTCAGCCGTGCAAGCCCACCCGGGTCCCGCCACCAGGAGCCAGGCTTTACAGACCCACAAGAGTAGGAGCCACCACGAGACCCCCTTCCCAGAGTCGGGCTCATCCCCGAGGAAGCCACACCAAAGCTGGGAGTGGGGGGTTAGGGGCTGCTTGAAAGTATTTGGGGAACCTGCACGTGATGAAACGGCTTAGAACACAGAGAACAACTCAGGCCCACAACTGCACTAATGTCAGTTTCCCGGTTTTCCTACTGACCAGCACTTACATAAATGTAATTATTGGGGAGAACGGGGTAAAGGGTTCACCGACCTCTCTATACTATTTTTGCAACATCCTGTGAATCTGTAATTATTTCAAAAATAAAAGTTGTGGGGTTTTTTAACAAAAATATATTTTGGACTGCAGATCTGAGTTTGCCCTCTAAATTAATTAAAAAAAAAAAAAAAAGTCATAGCTGAGCCTACGCAGTCTAACACACCTGGGAGCTCGGGTGGAGAAATGTAGACAGAAGGTCAGAGAGAGACAGCCCTGAGCATCAAGGCCACACTGAACTTTTGGGAAGAGAACATTCGAGCATTATGGCCAGGCTGGGGGTTCTCGGCCCTGTTTCCACCACCACAAAGGACTTGGATGAAGGTGGGGGCATTCCCCCGGGTGACACTCTCTCCCGGGGTAGAGCTGGCCTGCGCTCCCTTTGGACCAGCTGTGACTCAGGAAGTTGAGACACAATAGAGCTTAGTAACCGGTACAGCCTGTCCTCACCTACTCTGAGGAGGATGGTGAGTGACACGCAGGAGAGTCCCTAAGGCCCTCTGATTTCAGGAGCTGATCCTTCCCAAGCTTCAGTACTTAAGCCACGTGACCCTGCCCACCCACCTTGTCCCCCCTTCCTGTGGCCCTTCACTGGCAGTCCCCAAGAATATCAGCGAGGACAGGGAGGGGCGGGCACTCTTGCAGGGGAGGCCAGGGTTATCAGTGGGCTGGAGAGAGGGTCAGAGGTACGCTAGGAGGCCTGGAACATTCTCGTGTAGACAGAAGTGGGACTTCAGAGGGAGGCTCATGCTGGTGTGGGGAGGTGTGTATGGTTTGGGATATTTCAGCAGAGAAACGACAACAGCCCGAAGTGTCACCGCCCCCTCCATCCTGCTTGCCCCTCCCCCCAGATCCAAGGGGTCAGAGAGGGTGAGGTCCTGTCCACCCCTACTGGAGCCAGCAAACCCTGAGACAAGCCTGGCGAAAGCTGGGTGCCCCAGGAAAGCCAGCGATGCTCAGCTAACACCCAAGGATTAGACTAGTCTATAGTGACGGGGTCTTCTGAGGGCCAGGGCGTGGGAAGAGCACGGATACCCAACAAAAAGAGGGGACAGCGGGACATGGGAGAAGAGGAGAGTCAAGGTCCAAGAAGGTCCTGGGCAGCCAGAGCCACAGCCAACAGCCCCCTGAACGTTCACGCACACACACAGTTCTGTCTGCTTTGTGTAACCGCATCAACCTTCCAGTTAAAAACAAACACCACCACCAAACAAGCAGCCAACACTGCTGGTCCTTTCCTCGCCACTGATTCATGTCCCCTGCAGGGGACAAAAGCAAAGCTAACATTTGGGGAGCATGGAGGAGCCAGGTCCAGGCCCTAAGTCAAGATCCCAGTGAGTCCTCCTCACGCTGGCTTCACGAGGGGGGTAATGAGGCTATTTCTGTTTATTAGATGAGCAAGCTGACACTCAGATGCTGAATTCCATAACATGCCCAAGGTCAGGCGGCCAGTGGGGCTGGGAACCCCACTGAGGAGTGGGGCGCCAAAGGCTGTGCCCTACACTGTCCTCTGCCCGGCAGGCCAGGTGCAGGTCTACCTGGAAAGGAGCGAGGAGGGAACAGAGGGAGCAAGTTCTGAAAAGAAACCAGAGGGCCTGAGACCAGTCCAGAGAGAAGGGCAGCCTGGCCAGCAACCTTTGCCTCCCTGGCCTTACCTGTGGGGGGAAGGCTAAGGCCGGATGGGGGGGGAGGGGCACAGGGTAAGGAGAGAGGAGGGTCCTTCCTGGAGCAGACTTGGGGGAGCAAGGAGGGGACTTCTCAGGATGGCTCAGCCATCGCCAGGCATCAGGGGGCACGTGTCCCAGAGCTGGGACACTGCGAGGAGGACACTGTCACCATGTGGGCCAGTGTTGCAGAGAGGTGACGGCACCCTCAGGAGAAACGGGCGCCGAGGCCAAGTCCACTGCCATAGGTAGATACTCATGCATCCCTCATGCGGTTCTCTGCCCACAGGTGCCACCACCCTCAAGGGCACACACAGACGCACACACTGTAGTGCCCGCCACACACTTTGGGTCCACATCCCAACAGCTGCAGCCGCTGCCCACGTGGGCACACGCTGCTGTCCACATCTGCACGCTGGCACGGAACCACGAGGTTGCCCGCCCAGTGCCGGCAGCGGCCTCCACTCCCAGGCTCACCTCCACAAAGAAATGTGCCCAGATCTTGCTCCAGCGTTTGGACTCGGTGAGAGCACCATGAGTGGCCAGGTGGCTGCCTTTCACAGTGAGCGTGGAGTGGCTCACACCCAGGATGGTGATGCCCAGGACAAAGACCAGGACGTTCTCAGAACTCAGGCACAGGAACCCTGCCAGGGGGAGAGGGCAGGGTCTTTCTCAGCTTTTGGAGATCTGGGCCCAAGCACCCCAGGTCCCCACTGGTGGAAGCCCAGACCAAAGTCCCACTATGGCCTGAGGGGGATGGGTTGGCTCTCTCTACAGGACTTGGGGACAAAACAGAGCCCCATTGACTCCTCAAGGTGATTCCAGGAGTCTTGATTCTGGGCCCCAGCCAGAGCAGGGATGGGCCTGGGCACCCCGGGGGTCCAGACCAGGCGAGGTCCAGGGAAACGCCCCCTCCCCCCACCCCTGGAGTT